AAATTGCGAGCTAATAAAAAATATTTGCTAGTTAGTACTTTTTTTTAAATAAATTTTTGAAAAATCACGTTCAATTGAAAGCCCGAGTTGAAGACCCGAGTTTGTAGCAAAGATGTCAGACAAGATATGAATGTTTTTTTGGGCTCAAACGAAAGAGCGGGTCGAGAAATGGCGTGCTGGGACCTCTAAAGATGGTTTTGAACCAGGGGAGACTCCTAGACCCCAATGTTCTATACATAGGGGAGGATGGGGCAAAACGGTCCCCCTTCAATCGTCAATATTTTCCGATTCAATAATCCAATTGGGATGAGTTAGAGCTCGTTTTGAAGGATGAAAAATTATCTTCAAAATGAAGTTGAAACTGGGAATTTTCACAATGTCATTCACAAGTTATTGACAATTGAAGGGGGGCCGTTTTGCCCCACCCTCCCCTACTCCTAGACCCCATTGTCCTCCTAGACAATGTTGTCACAACTCTGCTTTTCAATTGAAAACAGATATCGTCTTTAGAGACATTTGTCATGTTTGGAGGCTCTAGCACGTCATTTCTCGACCCGCTCTTTCATTTGAGCCCAAAAAAACATTCATATCTTGTCTGACATCGTTGCTACAAACTCGTGTCTACAACTCGGGCCTTCAATTGAAATTGGAATTGTTAATTTACACAATAATAGGAGTGCATTGACGATTTTTTCTTGACTCGCAAAAATCTTCAAACAATTTGCTACCGATTGGTGATAAAATGTTTGGAAATAATGAAATAGGGAGGATAACGCCTTTTTTGTCAGGGGTGATTTTTCAAAAATTTATTTTAAAAAAAGTACTAACTAGCAAATGTTTTTTATTAGCTCGCAATTTTCTTCAAAACTACTTCATGAGGAAAAAAATAAAAATTTGGAATATCTATACATGAGGGGCTAATTGATCGGATTTCACTTCAAAAAAGGTTGACAAATTACATTAATTACAACTGATTATTACCTGCTGTCTCCCATTATCTTCCACTTTTCCATAATGATATGTGTTTGCAAATCAGCTCTAACAATCTCAGGATGAAAATCATTATTTTTTTCTCGTTAATGATGTGAGAAGCAACAAGTGATTGGTCATCCGTAATTTGTTCCTCAGGAAGTTCGTGCGGGAAGCACTTTCTTCTGGGGATCGCATCCGCTTCGTCACTGGCATGCAGTCTTGAATTGATTTTCCCTTTGAACTTCTCAGATATTTATGAGTTATTCATGATAACACAGAGGCAATGACTAAGAATTCTTGAATTGTTTGATTTAGAGTTATTGTTGACGAAAAATTATTGTCACTTCGAGAAAAATTCTCGTTTATTGGCGATTGCCATTGGAAATTAATATTTTGATACATATGAATGAAATTTTTCTATTAACATTTTATCGCTGGGCTGAGGGGAAAGATAGAACTGTAAAAAATATAATCGGTTATATAGAACAAAGGGATAATAAGGATAATGATGATTATAACATTCAACTAAGTTGCAAATCTGACAAAATTAGTTTTCAAAAAAAAGAGTTAATCATTGTTTATTTCATTTTATTAAAATTAATAAGATTTCTTTTACATTATAGAAGTAAATTATGTACAAAATAACCATTCCGAATCATATTGCTTATTTATTAGCAAAAATAACTGTACTATATGCAATGCAAAAACAATTTTCCACTAGTTATACTCCCAAATTCATCCCCAGATCAATTTTCGTGTCATGGATTTCTTGATACAAGTGCAAACGTTCTCATCAAAAAACTTTTTTGTTCTTAACGGAGGCCAAAAAAAAATTTTCTCTCGAATATGAGTTTGCCGCCCGAGCCGAAGGGGAGGGTTTCAATTATATTAGCTAGAAAAGTTTTTTTAGGCGGTATTCCTACGCGGAATTAGGGATGGGCGATGTTTTAAAAAATATCGATTATTGAAGAATCGATGTTTTCTAAAAAACATCAATGTTGTGAATCGATTTTTCTGGAAAAAACATCGATTATTAAAAAATCCATGTTTTTTCAGATTACACACGAAAAAAAAAATTTAGTAATTTTTTTCTTCTCATTTTTTTTTGAAAAATATATATTTAAAAAATACAACCCGAGGAATTTACGTTTCAATGATAAGTACTGCTAGAAAGTTGAATTTTGAATCTCGAAACCGGGTTTTTGATTAATTGATGAAAATATATTGAATATTTTCCGTTAGCTGCAATAATTGTTGAAAATTTTAATTTAAAAAAATTGGAAAATGTCAATTAAAAAAAAAAATAAACGACTGGACTTGTTCACTTATCATTTATAACATACATACTGTTGAAAATAATTACTTCTGATTGCGGATAAATTATTATTTTGTTTATTCTCAATCAATCAACATTATCCTTCGACAAAAAAATGAAAAATTTTGGTATCTTGGTCAGAAACATCGATGTTTGCAAAAAAGAATTGAAAATCGATTGATCGGTCGTTCAAAACTTCGAATGAAAAACACCGTTTTTCGAGCATGAAAAAACGATGTTTTCGATTAATCGACAAACATCGCCCATCCCTACGCGGAATGCATCTTACGGCCGAAGTAACAAAAAAATACTGGTGAAGAAAAGACAATAAAAAATGAGAAAATCGCAGAGAAATGAAGTTGTTGTTTTCCAAAGCCAAAGGTCTTGAAGTTACAACGTTCGAATGATTTTACCGCTCGTTCTACAAATAAATAATGACGTCCCATTGTTTCCTCAGTTGATTCGCTATTTCATTATCGTCCATAGAATCCATTGTCTGACCGCAAAATGTGAAACTGAATGCATTAAACTTCTCATCACGCATCAACCTGTCAGTCGCTCCCCACTGCCCCAAAGACCCTCATATTTACGATAATTCTTTTTTCGTCGATAAAATAAAATTGTAAAGGGGTCGCCGAATGAATTATGAATGAAATACTCCATTGCGTCAGTTTCAGGAACAATGGAACCTCCCAACAGACGAATCCCATTGCCTCGAGGAGAAATGCAGCAAATTTTCAATTTCTCGTTAAAAAGAATTGCCTGGATTAAATTCCAAAGAGTAGATTCGCAGTATTTCCAGGGCAATAACACAGTTATTGAAACTATTGGCATCTATTGAAAAATCCTATTCAAGGATTTCGCAGCTCCACTTCACGCAGGAAAACCTAAACGTAAATAAATTTTACGGAGCGTTCCATAATTTTGATTTGAATCTCCTGTGAAAATTTACGATACCGCCACTTAAGGGTGACAAGTGAATTTGAAAAAAGATTCAAAAAAATTTTTTTCTTTCCCTCCATCATTGGAGAAACATGTATTCATCCATCCGACGAAATTTCAAACCCGCAACCGGAACTAGACATCGAGAAAATAAATGCGGAAAATCCTCTATTTCGCGTGACGAACCTCGAGAAAGCATGGGATTAAATGGGTACGGCGGGTTGAATTATCTCTCTTATTCACCCCGGTACCCCATTGTTTTTTGTCGCCATCACATTGAACACATCATTCCCCATATCTTCAAATTTTTTCAAATTTTTCTTGAGTTCCTAGGGGGTTGAAACGTTCAATTTAATCAAAACTCCATAAGAGGCCGTGTATAAGACTGATTTTGTTTATTTAATTTCTCGATATCCATAAGTTCTAAAATTTTAAAATTGTCACCGATGTTCACCATCTGTCTAATACTATTAATTAAAAAAATTATAACTTTGTTGGTGAATGTCAATTTTCAAGGTCATCGCCAAATTCACTTGGCACCCTTAAATTTTCTGAGTGGATTCCGTAATCGGTGAGTGAATTATTAGTTCCGTAATTTTTATTGAAAATTTCTCTCCGTGTAGTAGTTTCCCCTTCATGAAATTTTTCCATACAATTCCCGATTTTCCCCATCAGCCATAAAAAACCAAAACCGGAAAACTCATCTCAATGTGAAATTGTCGAGAGGACAGGAAGTGATTGAAATGACTCCTCAGGAATGAAGATCCCGATATCAGGGCGGAATGGTACGAAGAATTGTGGAGAGTCGTCAGTGTGTTTCTGGAACTCACGTAGCATTTTAAACCGGACAAAGGAAGACACGTTGGCAATGAAGTGGACGATGTAACATAGATGCAACAAGTAGACAGACATTTTCCAAGTATTTCGATTCAGTATAAAAGACGATTCACAATATTGGGTTAGTTTTTATGTCGTTCCAGTTTCCTCACTGGGTGTGCAATGGGGACTTTTGTATCCCGTATGGATCACCAACAAGCTCTCCATCCAAGCTCTAGATCTTCGTTCACTTCAAGGTTGACTTGTTGATGTTCATTCATTGACGTTGAAATATTTCGATTTTTATTTTATCGTGTAACATCTCGTTTGTCTCTCGACGTGTGCAAAAATTCATTCGCATTAAATTTAACATTTACATCTAGGTTGATTCGTCGATTAACAATGGATTGAGTAGAAAATGAGGATATGTAAAATACGGCACGATATTTAAAGCTTGATATACAGTATTAATACCAGTATTACTACACACATAAATGATAATAAATTAATTATTTTACACGGAGAGAAATGCTCAGTAAAAATTGTGGAGCTCCTAATTCGCTCACCGATTACGGAATCGACTCACGAAATTTAAAGTAGCTCTACTCTTACGGTAAATTCAAAGATTATTGAAAACTGCAAAAAAATTGCAGAAAACTCGATTAGATTCGGAATTCTAATTTTTTTCTCAATTTAATTATCGTTTAATTATCGTTTTGGTTTTTCAAAGAAGAAATGTTTAAAAATCAGGATTTAACCAAGTGTCTTATGTGAAAATCAACATTTCCATTGTAATCAAAGATTAAAATCTGAATTTTTTTTCATTAGATGTGACAAAATCAATAATTTTTTTGACACCTCATAAAAAATAATCCACCGTTTTGCAAACAAATTTTATTATTTATTTATAAGAGGGAAATGTGTGAAAAAATAGTAATATTTTGGGAAATTTAATTTAGATAATACTGACTGGGTATGAATTTTTTCAATTTTTTTCCATGCAATTTACCTAGTTGAAAAATTTTTAAACTGAAAATATCCAAAAGTACAGCGTAGCCCGGCCGAAGGATAAGAGATACTTTAAGTGACGATATCGTAATTTTCCACAGGAAATGGAGCTAAAAACTACGGAACTCTACGAAAAAATTCAGTGACAGTTCCGTAAAATTTCCTACGTCCATATTTCGCTCCCGAATTACGGAAAGATACGTAATTTTTCTTGAATATTTCTCTCCGTATAGTGAACCGCCGAAGTGCGCAACTTTCTAGATCAGGAAGTCTTGATTTTTGCTAAGAAATTCCCGCAATGTTCGAAAATTGGCCAAAATTTTTGGATTAACAGAATTGAAGACCTTCCTTAATCCTTCTCAAAGGAACATGCAATAATTTTCGAGAAAATTCCGGAACTTTCTGGAACTTCTTGCGTTGTATACGCTAGGAGACAACATTACGCAATAATTAATAGTCTATAATGTCATAACGGGATCTCTAAACTAATAAATAGTGAAAATCTCACTGAAATCCATTCAGCAGATTCTCTGCAAATCGTGAACAGACAACAGGTTTATTATATGTAGGAAGATTCAACCAAAACACACCCTATCTCCGTATTACTCTCTCCCTAAAATAAAGAATAAAAACTCTCTCCGTAAAGAATTATAAATAACTTAGATCCGATTGCACCAAGCTTTGTTGAGAAAATCCTTACTTAAGTATCGATAGAAAGAAGTAGTATATTACGATACGAGTGCATAATAGTTATTTTCATCACAAGGTCCATAAAGTATTTTCTGACGAATGTGGCTTTGTAATCCTATAATCACATTCGTCAGAAAATACTTTTGGACCGTGTGATGAATGCAATTTTTCGTCAGAAGGTCCGTAAACCGCGATCAAACCGAGCGAAGCGAGGTTAAAATCGCGGTTTACCGGGTCTTCTCACGAAATAGTATATTTCGTCATTAGGCTGAAAAAAACTTTTCTGGCGAATACTCGGAGAGAAATTTTTTAGGAAAATTCTAGTGCTAGCGCAGGAAAAGCGGCGCAAAGTGACGGCCAGGAAAAAATTTCAGTGCCGGCACTAGAAATTTTATTGGGGAAAACGCGAATTTTTCCTCATATTTCTGTGAAAATTTCACAGAAATCCCCAGAAATTTCACCAGAAATACCAAGAAATTTTATCTTAACAGCAATAGAATTTTTTACAGCCGGTGGATTGTGATTTTTTCCACTACTCGTACTAGAATTTTTCTAGAAAATTTCTCTCCGTGTATGAGTTTACAATCATGAGCTAGAAAAGATTTTTTAGGCCTTACGACGAACAATATTTTTTGTCATAACGGCTGTCAGCAGCGATGAAATGCTGGCTTACGGCTGGAATGACAAAAAATTCATAACGTCATGGAAAAATCCGTGGGAACTGGCAATTCCAGCTGAATTATTGCGGGAAAATGAATGAAAAAGCAGGAAAATTCAGAGAAATCTGGAATTTAAGCGCCGATTTCTCTGAATTTTCAAAGTTAGCCTTCAAGAATTCTTGGAATCCCAATAATTTTCAAGGAATTCCCTGAAAATTCAAGGGAATTTGGCAGTGAATTTATTTTTACTTGGAAATTCATGTAAATTGTGGAATCTTCCTTCTTCCTGTCGCTAAAAAATCGAGACTTTACTTGAACTTTCAGAGAAACTAGAAATTACATTGACTTTTTCCCAAAAAGTAATAAAATTTAAAGTCATTTTCCGGAAAAATCAGGGAATTTTTTTTATGCCACTCATGCCTGAAACCGGCTGGATTACACACTCGACGCTTCGCGTCTCGTGTCTAATTCAGCCGGTTTCAGGCTTCGTGACATAAAATTTTGTTCAGTACTTGTTGGGAAATTTTGTCCTTAACGTGTGTGGTTACATTACTCGCCTTCGGCTCATGCTGTAAACCCCACACACGTTAAAGACGAAATTGCCCCACACGTGCTGAAATATACTATTTCATCCCTTGTGCATAAAGTGAAATTTTTCGCACGCGTCGCGTCCATCACCCAAGACCGAAGTCCACTTGAATTATTTTAGCGCTTCGCTACTGAAATGACTGCTGACAAATTTCTTCCGAGGATTTATTTTCCAACAGGACTTGGTGCAACGGGCCGATAATCAAATAAATACATTTCATAATCAACAATTTTGTTAACAATCATAACGTATACTGTTTGGTAACTGATTAACAAATATAAGACTAGTGTTAATGTTAAATACTCACTATCGATAAACAATATTCATTCATATCGTGTACTGGCACTGGCGCTAATCATAAACAATACAGAACCCTCACAATTAACTAACATTCACCATATTCAGTCCTCAAAAACAGTGAAAGCACTGACACCCTTCTCCACAAAATAAACAAGACTGTCAGATCCGATCTTTTTCTTCTCCACATCAGTCAGGCTCCCCTCAGTCGTAGTTTTCGTATCCACTCGTCTCGTATTCTCATTAACAAACTGCTCAAACTTGGATACTGGTCGCACTGTGGTCTCCATTGCCACGGGCACCCCATGTTGATTAATCGTAGGTTTATAAGTCTTCACCTTCGAGTGCCCTTGGATGATCAAGTACGGAGGGCCATGCAGAGGACTCGCGGGTTGTTTATAATGCGAGAAAATGGGATCTGTAGTGAAGCTCTCGGTGACCGGCGTCGTAGAGGGAGCCACCGTCGTCGTTGTTGTTGTTGTGGGAGTCATCATCAGTCCTTTAGTGCTCACCTCCTTCTGCAGGAGAGCACCAAGAGGAGATTTGATAGTAGTAGGTCGAAAAGCTTCATTACTGAACATCATCATTGATCCCATGGGTCTGGGTCCTCCAAACAGAGGTCTGTGAGGGACACTCGGTCTCCTGAAGATCGTAGGAGGCATCCTCTCTGGGAACATCGGAGGCGGGGCCTGATCCTGCTGCCAGGACATGTCCACCATCGAAGGGGGCAGCATCGTCGTCGAGGGGACGAACGGCGTCGTTGCGCTCATCTCCACAATTGAAGAGGCCAACGATACCGGCGTCACTTCGATGTTTGATCTTGTCACACTGGCGATGCTCTTCGTGGTGTCTTCTTTGTAATTCATCGGCATCACAACGCTCACCGTCACGATGCTCTTGGATTCGTAGTCCCCGGGGGTCGTTGATGCGTTCGCTAGGATCACAGACATGTTCAACTCCGGGGACTTGTGGCCCACGACGATCTCCTCTTTATCTTCGGCGCTGTCGCCGGCGTCGACAATGATGTTGGCGTTGGGGCCCACGATGATCTCGTGGTTCATCGATGACGCGGCGTGATGGTGATCGGTATCAAAATTGTCGGATTCCTCCTGCGGCCAGGTGATCAGTGGCGGATTGTTCTGGGGTTGCGGGCGGTGGAGGGCGTGGGGAGGGTTGGCAGAGGGCCAGTCCAGCGCCTGGTGACTCGACTGGTGGTAAATGAGGTTGGATTTCTCGAAGGAAATCGATGACGATGTCGTCGAGGGCTCGTAGTTTGGCTTCTTCGGAGAGTTTGGAGGCAGAATTCCGAATTGAAGATTATTGGCGACTGAGTTCAGCGGGGGCGGCAGCATCATTGTGTACGGCTTCTGCTTCTCCGAGTAGTAGAAGTCGTTTGTCTCAGGGTAGCCGGGGTAGTGCCCCTTGTTGGAGTGCTTGAAGTCCAGTGGTGGTGGACCACTACGGAATTTCGTGTTGCGGATCAGCTTGGGGGGCTCTGCCCCGGTGCTGCCTGTGAAGTCTCGTGTCAAGTAGTTCGCCGGTTGTTTAGGCTCCTGGAATTTTGAGTCCATGAACTTGAGGAAGTGCTCGGGTATCTGGGGGCTCGTCTTCTTGGCTGTTACGCCGAGGACCAGGACGTCACGTTTTGACGAGGGCTCGGTTGTTTGTGTGTCACCCAACCAGTATTGGACACGGTCCAACACGGGGGGGACGTAGTCGAAGGTCGGATCGTTCTTCAGGGGATCGCCTCGGCCCAGGGGCGTCCACTCGTCGTAGTCCATACGTGGGGAGAAAATTCTTGTACTCTCGTTGACGCCTGCGGCCATGAAATCAGAGACAAAAGAGGCGTTTCAAGAGCTTATTTATGGGCGTGAGTCGATAAATCTAACGCTTTCGCTGGGAACATTCTTCGGTAAATTTTTATTGACAAAAATTGAAGTTCATATTTTCAGAATAAATCGGACGTTTTTTCTTATCTCCAAAAATCTCAAGTCGGGGAAAAAATGACGAAAAAGGTTGGAAAGTTTGTTAAACAAATGCTATCAATCTGCCTGTCAAAATCAAAAATTTCGCTGGCCTTCTCGTTCTACCTGTTGCCTCATTATCCCCGGTGAAAAAAAGCATTGAAAAACATCGAAAAATCCCCACGTACCCTTGATCCAAGATTTATTAAACATAAAACCAAGGCTACTGACAGAAAGAAACGCGTGTCCACGACGAGCAGGGCTCTTAGCACCAAGTGGAGTATGACCTACTGACCCATCGTCGTTAAAAACGCGCACGCCTGAGACTCGTCTATACTCTTTGATGGTCTCTTCCGCTTCTCCAACTTTTTCCTCATCTTCGTCAAAAAATCGAGTGATGAAAAAAAAATTACTCAACATACCCCCGATTGATTTAATGCTCGTTAAAGTTAAGACTCACCACTTTTGGGTTGATATGATTCCGAGGCAGATTGACAGACTCCCCAGAGGAGAATAAATCCGAGGATTAATCTTTTGGCCATTGTGAGAGTCTCCAGGAGCATCTGCATAATTGAAATTAAATTATTCAATTGGAATAACTGACGATGGATGCGCGAGTGGTTGGGGTGATGGGTGACATCTTCTGATTGTCAGTCGACCTTGTGTTGGCTTCTTCACTACCATGTGTACTTTCACGATTCCCCCCGTGAGCAAAACGAGTTTCCTAGTCTTTCTTGATTGTATTTGAGAGTCGTTTAACGTGTGCGAACGACCCAAGTCTACATCGTAACAAGGTTTAATGTAGTATGAGCATAACTTGAATTTTGAAAATTAAAATCGGAAAGAAATTCTAAACGAAGGTTAATGTGAATGGAAACATTGTGGTTGATTTTGCACTCAGATGGCAGTCTAGAATTATTGGTAATAATTTGGATAGGGCTGGTTGCACCAAGCCCTGTTGGCCAAATAAATCGGCAGAATAAATTTATGTGGAGTGAATTTATTCCACAGTTGGACAATTTTTGGAATTCGTCGTGGAGGGCTTTCGTACGCCCATTCCGTCCCGAATATTGATTAAATACTTTATAATTAGTGGTATCATTTTAAATAGCGATGGTACATGAATACATCATGTTTTTTGGTGAAATACTTTCGATGAACTTTCGATCAAAATTGATCGGCAAATAATTTTTTTCATTCCGGTACTTAAGGATATCCAAGTACTTTGACTATTCGTTCATTTGCGTCCGATTTTACCTTAAGTTTCCGAATATTTTACAATGATTTTATTATTGAAACTTGGCAGATCTGAATTTCAGTCTCCAACATTTTAAAAATCTGAAAAAAATGAAAGTTTCGTTTCGGAGGAAGATTGATAAAAAAATATAAAATTGCAATTTTTGAAAATTGCGAACATTTTTCATATATAATTTATGAACAATCAATTTTGCAGCGTAAAAATAATTTATTCCGAATCGTAAAAATTTATTCATATTCAGAATTTTACCAGAAATAGGTTTTGTGTCTAAAACATAAGGTTCCCGAAAGTTTCAACAATTTCAATTATTTATTTATAAACAACGAATGTTTAAAAAATAGTAATTCTGTGCAAAATGTAATTTGAATAGCATTGAATATTCATGAATTTTTTCAAATTATTCTCAGGGCACTTAATTGACAAATTTGATGATTGAAAATGGTTAGATCTATACTATGGTCTGCAACAAACTGTAAAAGATACTTGAATATCTTTAACGATATCCAAGTTTCCGGACATTTCACAATGATTTTATTATTAAAACTTTGCAGATCTGAATTTGAATCTCGAACATTTTAAAAATCTTAAAAAAATGAAAGTTTACTTTCAGAGGAAGATTGATAAAAAAATTATAAAATTGCAATTTTTGAAAATTGCGAACATTTTTCATGTATAATTTATGAACAATCAATTTTGCAGCGTAAAAATAATTTATTCCGAATCGTAAAAATTTATTCATATTCAGAATTTTACCAGAAATAGATTTTGTGTCTAAAACATAAGGTTCCCGAAAGTTTCAACAATTTCAATTATTTATTTATAAACCACAAATGTTTAAGAAATAGTAATTCCGTGCAAAATTTAATTTGAATGACGTTGAATATTCATGAATTTTTTCGAATTATTCTCAGGGCACTTAATTGACAAATTTGATGATTGAAAATGGTTAGATCTATACTATGGTCTGCAACAAACTGTAAAATGTACTGAAAATCGAGTTCGCTCCGCTATTACTTGACTCGTTCAGTGATTGTTCTCCAACTTTTTTCTCCATGTAATAACGAAAGTATATTTTTCTCATATAGTTTCACCAATCATTGAATTAATGCCAGTGGAGGAGTGAATTAATGATGGAAAAAAAGCTGTGCGAGGGGAGAAAAAAAAATAATGAAAATGAGGGGATGTGTGATGATTATGTTAATTCGATGTAATTTGTGGGGGAAATGGAACGGGTGAATGGTGGGAACTGGAATTGATTGCATTACATGGGCAAGTGATTTTGAGAGGAAAAGAAGAGATGGGAACAAGTCCATTGAATACGTGATATCAACTCGTGAACTGTCCGGGG